AGTAGCAGAATTCAAAATTTCAAAAAATGATATAGAAACACATTTCTGGAATTAAAAATTCAGGTTTTTAAGAAAATGATTTACTGTGTTCCAAGTGAAAAGTGTCTATATATTCTCCTAATTTCTGGACACATTTTTAACTTTGAGGTTATTTTAGACTGAATAATTAGACTTATTAATATTCTTACCAGTTCTGTCATATGACTCATGACATGTACGTGCAATTTCCGCTCCTAGCTCTAAATAATGACCAGCTTTATCCATTCTGGAACCATCTGCTCCTAGTGCAAACATTCCCCCAGCAAAGCAGGCCAAATGCCCCATCTTCTTTTCCAAGTGCCCATTCTTCCATTCTCCAATAAAGACAAGACCTCCCCGGGACTTCTTAATAAGATGTTTTTCTATAGCCTACAGGAAAGAGAAGATACTCAAAATTTCAGAAGCAAACCATTAGTGTTCAAACTTACTATATCCTTCTGGCTATCATAAAACCTTGGTAATATGATATTCTATAAAATAGTAACTTTCCCAAATTGGAAGACTTAACTTACAATAAGTAAGTTTTAGAGTGAGTGATCAAATTGCCTATAATGTGGAACAAATACCCTAATCGGTAGGAGAGGAGATTTGGTCAAAGATTACCGTTCTACATTATGCTACCCATTACAGGCTTTGTTTTCTTGAGCTAAATGAAATTCATAATAATCAGTCAATTGAGATCATGATGATGTTATAACCCAAAAGGCTTTACCAATTTATTTTCTACTTCTCTCTCTCTCTCACACACACAAACACACACACACACACACACACACACACACACACAAACTGAACAGGCAGAATATTCAAGTTAATAAAAAAATATGATTTTAATACTTAGTTCAAAGTTTCTCATTTTCATGAAACTATAGCACTTGGCAAAGTATTTTATAAAAGTACTATTAGATGAGCAACCTTATACATCATAAACCTTTCAAAACTAGGTGAAAGTTTAAATCCTTATCCCTTAACTCCTCAGTCCCTTCAAACTTAGGCACTTGTTTTGGATGGTGTGCCATGAATAAGAGAGGCCACATGATAAATACAGTCCATCTTCCTAAAATGTCAATTTTACTCTAAAGATGTGGGGATGGTGAGGGAAATATTCTATATTGAACTTAAATATAAGAGAGAGTATAATAATCACATTTCATTTTAAAAATGAGATTTTTAAGAGCTCTGCTCCTTTGGACTATGTTCTCAGACTTTGCTGAGAACAGCTATGGATTAATTCTCTGCCTTTAGAGGTATTTCTATGGAAAAGGATAAGAATTGTATTAAGTAAAGTTTTCTTTGGTAGAAATTATTGAATATGATTAGTGATTATACGTTTCTTTCTCACAATAAAAAGGAATGTGTCACACAAAAATTAATACACATTTTTACTGTGAGTTGTTCTCTGACAAGCTTAATAACAATCCACCTTGGAAAAATATATCCTATATTCTCTGTTATAATCACATACATTTTACAGAATTGGAAGGACTAGGCCGTATACATCATCTTATACATCAAAAGGCCTGTAATGTAGCATGCACTCAATAAATGTTTAATTAATAAGTAATTTTATAAATGAATGGTGCTCCTAGATAATTGCATTTGACCTGTTAGGGGAATGAGAGATGGTTAATAACCAAAATGATAAGGGACTACCATTATATTACAAGTTTTTGTTGTTGTTGTTTTCTTTTAACTGTAGTACTCTGGACCACAAATGAAAATATTCGTTTTTTCAGTACAGGGGCAATTGTTTTTCATCTTTGTGGACCTCACAATACTACCATGTTTTCTGCATGTAGGTATTCTATAAATGCCTAAAGAATGATATACATAGTTATTGCTCTAAATTTTAATATAACAGTTTTGTTATTTCTGTTCATTATAATATAAATCTTACCATGTTATAATTAAAAGATATCCAAACATATTCCCATGGACTTACTAGGACTAAAGCAGAAGTTGGGTAAAAACAGGGCTTTTTACTTGTAATTTACTTATGGACCCCTAAAATTGCTTTCTATGGCTTTCTTCTCTCTAAAAATATGACAAATGCCTAAGAATTCAACTTATATAAAATACCA